ACTTTTTCAGGATTGGAGATATGTTTAAAAGTCATTGATTATTTATTGGACCTCTGCTATTCAATCAGTTATGGGCTAGGCTGAAATTCCTGTTCATTTATTGTCCAATTATTTGTTGGTCTCCCAGCTTCAGTTATAAATGCCTCTTGGAACTTAAGCTTCTCAAAGCAGAGATCTTGTTGCCTATTTTCTGTACCTAAACCCGGAGTAGGGACTCAAAAAGTACCTGTCAAGGGAACACAGGAATATGGCACCGCCTTCTATCTACACTGTCCTCCGAGCTAAAAATGGGGAACTTGTAGTTGTCTCTTCTCGGCTGTCAGCAGTCAACAAATCATAGTATTTGGTGTCTTAAAAATATCTCTATAGTTTGTTTGCTCATTCCTTGGCCAGTAAAGAGCTAATACTCCAAATCGCCATTCTTTGCAACAGTCTCTCAATAAGCTCCCCGCCACCAATCTTCTTCCTTCCCCGTTGATCATTCACCAAAGGTACCAGAGTGATCTTTCTAAAAGGAAGCCGGATTATATCACTCTCTTGCTTAAAACACTACTTGAATATTGAATAAATTATGAAATCACCACTAAAGTTTTCATCTGCCAGACACTATTCTGAACTCTTCACATATTGATTCGATCCTCAAAAAATCCTATGCAACAAGTACCTTTACTACATTCACATTACAGAGGCATTAACAAGCACAAGCTTATTAAGTGGGCTTGCTGAAAGACCAGACTATGAAGTCTGATCCCATAATCAGTCTTTTTCTGCTAATGAATTATGAATTATACGCCATTTTAAAAAGTGAAATATTACCTGCATGGACTGGCGTGGACTGGTATCTAACAGGTACTTACATCAAGAAAAAAATAGAGCATGATTTTATTTTAAATGGTAGTATGTTTGTTTACCTGTAGAAAACAAGCTGAAAGATTATGACCCAAACCACAAGTGGTTAATGTTCTACTTTGTACATGCCTGTAAATGTTAGTATGTTTTTTACAGTGTGCATGACTGTGTAGGTAACCAGGGAAGGGAGGAGTTTCTTGCTAAAGGATAAAGTCCAATTTCCGTGGTCTGTTAAAATGCACCTGCACAATCAGACCCTAATTCATCTCCCCAACTTTATTTCCCACCAGTCTCTTCATCCATGTGAAGAACAAGTTCTTTATAGTCTGTGCCTTTGTTTTGGATATTCTCTTAATCTAGAATCTTCTGCTTTGCCTTGTCATTTGACACTACCCTTCTAGGCCTAGTTGAATGATCACCTCTTCAGTGAGACCTTGCATAATGCCCTTAGGAAATTGAGCATCCCCTCTTTGAGATTCTAGAAGCACTTGGCATATTATGTCATAATTACTGGTCTATTTCCATTTCCTCTTCTGTACTATAGACAGACCTTTTTTTTTTTGATGGTAGGGACTATTATTTGTTGATCTTTGTCTTTGTTAGCACCTCCCCTCCCACCCTGTACTAAAGATTGAACTCAGAAGAGACTTGCACATAGTATGCAATCATGCACTACATCCCAAGTCCCTTTTAAAATTTTATTTTGAAACATTGTCTAAGTTGTGCAGGCTGGACTCAAACTTTCAGTCCTTCTGCCTCAGCCTCTTGAGTAGATGGGATTGTAGGTATGTACCAGCACACTCACTCATTTATCTATCTGCCCCAGCTACTAGGATAGTGCTGGACACATCATATACATTCAACAACTATTTGCTGAATGAATGAGTGAAGACATTAACAAGTGAAAAGTCAAATAGCATAGCAGGATTTAAAGAATGCTTTCTAGATAGCATAAGAGACATCATAAGGCAGTACAAGATTAATTGCTGTATGACTCGTACATCAGTAATTGCTATAGAAATCAGAGAAGGCATCTTATTCATCTTTGTATATCTTCCAAGCACCTAGCTGGTGACTTGCTTATAGTGGAAGTTTGGTAAATGCTGTGTGAATGAATAATCACAGAGCCTTTGAATGAAGTGATGATGGGCAATTGAAGAACAAGCAGTGCAAGTGCTGCATTAAGATGGATGAGTAGTTTCTTAAACATCCATCACCAGCTTCCACAGATCTGAGCCATAGCTCTTGCTGGGTTTTGTGGGGGAAATTGGGCTGGCAAATGCTTGGAGTTGTAGAGGACACAAGAAAAAGTATAAATATTATAAATAAAAAGTATAAAGTATTCATTTGAGAAAGATAGACTTAAAACCAGGAAACTTTACATACAACAGAGAACAAGAATAATAGTACAAAAAAGATGTGCACAATATGTAGCCAACAGATGTTATGTGAGCATTAAGAGCAATGACCAATGAGAAAAGGGGAGACTAATGGTGTATTTGGGAAAGTATAATAGAGGGCAGGGCTTGTAAGATCATTAGCTATTGAGCCTCTACTATGTGTCAGGAACTCTGGTAGGTTACCAGGGAAATGATGTTGATAAATGGCATCAGGTGATAATAAGTCTGATAGCAGCAAGTGTGGAATAGGAAATAAAGGAACTGGTTAGAGGAAATGAAATGTGGCTTCAGAGATCCTTAGAACCTGATGATTTCATAGCTAAAAAAGGGCTCAGGAGCACCATCAAAATTAGGGTTGTTTTGCCAAAGTAGGTAGTAAAAAACATCAATATATCTTATTCCACCAGATTTTCCATCTAAATAAATGAACTCCCTCATGCCAAAATAGGGAAGTGGCAGTGAAATGGCTGTACAGCCACTTGTAATTTTAGTAAGACTCAGTTTTGGTTAAAGAGCTTATGACAGGTAAAATAATCCAGAAAGCCACAACAGCGGAATTCACATAATAAAAAGATCCTTGGGCTGGGGATGTAGCCCAGAGGTAGAGACCTTGCTGACTATGTGTAAGTACCTTGGTTTGATCCTCAGCATCCTCACCAGTTAAATAAGGAAATCTTTGCCAGTTAAATAAGGCTATCTCCATGCTTCTTCAGAATGAAGACTTCATCCTTTGCCTTAGACTTGAGCTTACAGAGTTTCATGGACTTATATCTCTCCACTTTATGATGATAAAACACAGAGCCACATAGGTGAGTCATGTGAAGCCATCAAGTTAGGAACAGACTAAAATAAAAACTAGGCTTCCAGACTTCCAAGCCCACATTCTCTTAGGGAAGAGAATGCTCATACTATGTCCATGAATAAGACACTTCTCCCACACCACGGGGTTCAATGAGCTTTGGAGGGCTAGCCTAGAAGTCTATTTTTTGCTGATTCTATGAGAAAATGAATTCCAAGTTGTATCTCAAAATATGCATTTCAACCTCCCACTCCTCCTTTTACCACCCTGGTGAACACAGAAACTGGCCAGCAGGAATGAATGAAGACCATTTCACACTCTTAATAACTTGCTTGGAAATGAACCAAACAAAATTTATTTATCCAATCAAAGAAAATATTTATATAAGCAGATTTCTTAAAATTAGGGATTGATGTTTAGGATAAATCTTAGAATTATCCAAATTAACTACTTGTCTTTCTCAAAAATAAATACTACTAATCTTCCTCCACCGTGCAGCTGTAAAACTACACACTATTCATTGAAGGAGGAGCAGGAAAAAACAACTTTTACTTCCTGGAATATGGGAGAGGTATCTAAAAATCCCAGCTATTAAAATGATACTGGACTGATTAGGATCTTTTTTGTTAATAACAAAGCAAAGGAAAAAAATGAGGGCTGGGTAACCTGACTTGTAAAAATATTCATTAAAGTCATCTACATTCCATCACTTTGTGTAATTATGGCAAAGCATAAGGGTTTATTCACATCATTAAATAAGTCAAGTTAAATTATTTGACAGCAACACAACCTCTTGTTCAGAATCTCTCAGTCTTATACTTTATGGCTTATTTAGTTGGGTTATCTGCTCCTGGCTTTTAACATAAGATGAAGGAACAGTGCTGGCCTAGTAATTGGAGGCCAGTCTACCTTCTAAACAGGGGCAAAAGTAATCACAGTGAATATGACCAATTCCTTCCCTTTCTATTAAGCCAGTCTGTAAAATCTTGCAGAAGAACGGTGGAAGCAGAGCTGTCTCCCAAAGCATCATAGAGAATACTCTGGAACAGTCTACTTAGATACTGCTTATAGTTTAGATTCTGATCCTCATGATATTCACAGTCTATGGTTTTGTCACATAATGTGTTCCTAAAAAGGTATACAAATGCTTTGAGTATGTGGAAATTAAATAAGTTTATGTTATAATGTGCAGTTTTCTTTTTAGAAAATAAAATTTTCTCCTCAACATTAGCAAAATTCTTTGATAACACAATACAATTTTTTAATCTAAATACTTCCTTCTTTTATATGCAGCTAACCAGCTTGGATGTTCAATGAGGATCCACTGAGAGCCTAAGACTTGTCACTTATGACTGGGTACCTCTGATCAGTTCCAACCATGTATAAAGTGGGCCACATTCATGAGACACAGGCTTCTCATCAGCATTTTCATTTTGTGTCTTCTACTTATTTTAATATAAGAACAAAATGCAGTAAATAATAAAATATTGCACAGTGATGCTAACACCATCGGCCGATATAGATTTTACCATATTATTAATCATGCTTATTCATCAGAGTATGCACAAAAACTGTTTGGCATTCAAAAAGAGATTTAGAGGTACTGAATATTTTAAAAGTATCTCTTATCAAAATCAAATATTTTTTAGATAAAAGACTGTCTATAAAAAACAGGAAGAACAACCGTATCAATATTGTAATTTCTTATTTTTTTTATCTCACATACTTCTGTTTCTCCCCAAGAAGTGATAAAGAAAGCAAAGGGACCTTTGAAGGCATATTCACAGAATGGCTACCATGTGCCAGGCGCTACATAAGATAATCGGTGCAAACACTCTCAATATGGTGTGGCCAATACTGTATTTTATATCAAAACCAAAACCAAACAAAACCTAAGACTCCCCCAGAAGCTCCTAACTTCAATAAAAGTTCTTGTTTGCTGTGCTGAAGAATGAGATTGAGAAAGAACCTTTAATTATTAGAAAAAGATCTGATAAAACTGTATTTAAATGGCCCATTAATGATGTGTTTTTTATATATCTGTGAGGGATTGGAGAATAAGTCTATTCTCTGGTCTGGTCTGAAACCACCAGATTTCTGATATTTTTAAAGCAACAGTTAAGATACTGATTTTACTAAATGTTTAAGCATCATTAAGGATGTGAGCTTTAAAGGTATACTTGTTTGATGGGGACTCAAAACTCATGACATATTTAAGTCTCTACTTTCTCTGCACAAACAGATTTACCAAGCCTGGTTTAATAATAAGTCTGGAAGAAAATAGACAACTATTACTATTTTAGATTCTTTCTCCCTCTTTAGACTCTTCAGCAGTGTGTGTGGGGTGGGGGGAAGCCAAGGTTCTTCCTATCTCTTTATAGCCAGAACTAAGACTTAGGAAGACAAGAGAACAAGAAATGGGCTCCCTGGAATCCCAAGCTTCAGGTTCTAACCACTTTCAGTGGTTCCCTGACAAACATCACTGTTTTGAAAATATAAATTTCTAAACTGGAAGAGCTACTTGGTAGTTCCATGCCTTGGAGATATGGAAGAGAAAAGCTTCTAGAATGCCAATAATCAGTTGCTGGCGAATTTCTACAATTAGGCATTTCTTGAAGGAAAGAGGGACTGTCCTTTTGGATGGAGAGTGTAGTAACCTAGAATCAGCAGACCCAGATTCTAAACCTTCCTCTTCTTCTAACCAACCAAGCACTCTTGGTTCTAGACTTGTAGAGGACCCTAGATTTGCCTTCTGTATAAGAAGAATTAGGACTAATTTTTTTCCAAAGTCTTTTTCAGGTTGTTTGTATATGACTATTTCTACTCAAACACACTCCTGAACATACAGGAAAGTAGAAGAATTATTTTAAATTAGGTCACTTCTTTTCTTACTTGAATACTGAAAGTCTTATACTCCCTTTAGAAATTAGACTGGACTAGCAAATACATAGGGACTAATACAAGTGCACTGCCATATAGTCACTTATAAAGTACATTTCTGATCACTCTTGTTAGATTTCTGATATGAGAGATTTGAGGTAAGTGTCCTGATTGAGTCTTCATCCTTTTGGCAAATAAGAAAGAGGATCAAAATACTTGACGATGGTGAATCAAGTCCTTGGTTTTCACTTCTTCATTCCTCTTCAAGGATAACCCAAGCCAGCAGGGTTGCAACAATGTCAGCAATGAGACTGGATCTTAAAGTCAGCAGTCATGCCAGAAAACTCAACATGAAGTCATCATTAACAGGCTGGAAATTGCAAGTCTTAAAAAGGCAGGTCTTAGGAGACGGAATCAGCGACCTCTGGGTGGAACAGGTGGAGGAGGAAGGAAGGTCTCTCTGGCTGGTGGTCTGAAATGAAAGATAAAGCAACTCTATTTTAAACGTAACCTGATTAAATACCTCTTAGGCATCCATGATTTGGGGTAAACTTTGTGTAATATACAAAGGACAGATCCCTCAATTAATGAAACTGGACCCACCCTGAAAGTGTCTGAGTGACATGCATGCCAGCGGTGGCTCACAATCCTGGCTGCACATTAGAATCACCAGTGGAGCTTTTAATAATGCCAATTCCCAGATTCCATCCGAGATGCATCCCATCATAATCTCTGGAGGACATGGCTCAAGCATTGAAACATTTTAATAGTGTCCCTTCTGTAACCCCAGGGCCATATATGAGATAATTAGGGAGAGCCAAAGCTCCAGATCCCACTAGCGGATCCTAAATCAGCAACCCTATCTCACTCATTTCTTCCTATGGAAACCACAATGAAAGCTCCTGCCCAAGTCTTCCCTTCATTCCCTCTGCTTCCCAACCAACTCTGGTGCTTCTTGGTGTGAGCACACCCCCGCCCCCCGCCATGCTGTGACATGTTCCCTGCTCTTGGGAACTATGTTTTTTCAGTGGCCATTTTCTCCTGATATGTTGACCTTACCACACCTAAATAATAATGAAACCCAGATCTTAAAACACCAGTGATTCAAATAGGCAGCCAGGCAGGAGCCCACGTGTGGTAGGGAGGCCTGCTGAGAGAGGAATTGAGAACTTAAGTCTGCTGCTCAGAATCACCTCCTGTGGGACCATTAAGTCTTATTTCAACTCTGCATTTGCTTTCCTAAAGCCCCTCTCTGTGTTATTCTGGAAGGTTTTTGTAAGGTCCTAAATTACACTCCAGGTAGACCAGGGCAAGTCTATTTACAGATAGGTTCAATGATTACAAATGGCATTTCCACATGTGTGCTGTAAAACCAATATTTAATTCTCTTGGAAGCAAGTCAATAAGTCCAGAAAGAGAGCTTTGTCAGATGCTGTAATTGAACTCTGCTACCCGGGAGTTGCATACTCGAGGACTGAATGAATCAATGAGTAAATATTTACTAAATGTCTCCTGAATATTAGTTTTACGTAGGTCAAGGAAATGAAAACGGAGCTGGGAAGTGCAGGGCCACTTGAGGAACAAGGTAGAAGTAGCAATGAATAACCACAGAAGGACCTCTTCCTGCCCTGCTCCCTGAGATAGATGGTTTTGTGTTTTTGACGCTGAGTGACTGAACTTTATCCAGTGAAAGTGAAAGGGTGGTCTGCTCCCATTCTCCCCAACCTGCCCTATAAACTGTGTGTTATAAGAGAACAATGAAGGTTGAGAAACCCTCCCTCCCCAAACATCTTCCCTCCCTCCCTCCCTCCCTTCCTTCCTCTCTTTACAAACATTTGCCTACCATGCATGTACTCCTGCATGTGGTATGTAGCAACAAGTAAAATGGGCATGGATTTGGCCCTTAAGATACTGTAAATGTGTAGATGAGACAGACAATAGCCCAAATCAGACACTCTGTTGAGTGTTTTGATAGGGGAAGCTAAGAACCTACAGGAACATCTAGTGGAGACATTTATGCACACCTGTGTGTGTATGCAAATTCAACTTCTCTGAGACTGTCTTCTCATCTGGAAAACAGAGTTAATGACACCTACATTAGAGTATGTGTGACATAGCAATGACAACTGGAAGTAGATAGCACAGTTTGGGGCTTAGAGTAGGCACTTGAGAAGTAAAGCTAAAATTTTCACTATGAGGATGAAAGATTAGTCTAAGATCTTTTCCCCAGAAGACTGGTACTTTATCTCCCTCTACAAGACACAGTTCCCTCCCAATGCCTCTCTCTCGTTCTGCTGCCACACGCCACAGTTGGGTGGACCTGCGAGCATGCCATATCACGCTTGCAGAGCTTCCATGCTCATCTACTGTGTTTCATTCTGATGAGCAACTCCTGGAACAGACTGGAAACCCCATCTGGGAGAAAGGGACTTGTACACGTATTAGAACCTGGGAGGTAGAAAGGTTCTAGATCCAAATGGGGGAGTGGTCTGTGGAGAGCCTGCCTCTCCAGAACACTGGGAAGCTGAAGTTGGAGTTGACTGATCAGAGACATGTGGGCATTGGCCTCTTTCTCCTCCCTGTTCAGGGTGACAGGTCACTTATGAAGACTTTGGTTCACACATCGTCAGCCCTCAGTCCTGAGGCTGGTTAATGTTCTTTTAAAATAGGGATCCTTTCTGGTATGCCTTTGTGTGGTCATTTACTCTATTAACCATAATTTTTAACTTCCCTAATAGTTAATATGTAGCTATGTCCCAAGTCCACTCACTTCCTGACCTCTCCAGTCCCTCGTTGGATTTCCACAGACCTTGTTCAGTCAGAAACTAAAGGATTAACTCACGGGGCTGCAGGAGGTCTCCAGAAGCAGGTTCTGGTCATATAGGTCACAGGGTTTTCCTTAAATCCAAGTGTTGGCTAGTGATGGCATCTCACTAGTGAATGGCCAAATAAGTTCAAAACAAAAGGGAAATACTTAGTGAAAGTTTTCCTTTTTCCCCTCAACTGTGAAGGACATTACCTACGCAGAGCTGACACTGTCCCACCCTAAGGGGTCTAAGGAGCAAGGGAAATGCCAGGCAATGTTATACCACACCTGCTGCAATCCTCACCACCATCTTCCTTCTTTTCTTTGTTTCTTCAAATAAATGTACTGGGAACTCACAGTAGGTGAGTGCAGAAGCTCCTTCTACTGTCTGCAAACCACCAGCACCATGGTGGGTGGCTTGATGGCTGTTTTAAGGGCTTAGTAAGTCCAACCCAAGCTGTTACAATGCATCCATCTATTTACACAATAAATATTTACTAAGTTCCTAATACACGCCAGTGTATTTTTAGGTATTTAAGTGCATCCCAGTTTCCCCTGTGTCAGGCACCAGAGGAAACATTTAAAAAATTAAATCAAAAGTAGTTTTTCCTCTTGCAAGGTTCACCATCCATTTGAGGAGACAGGGATGTAATAAAGGTTGCAATGTGGATTAGAATAGAGGTATTTGGGGAAACAAAAGTAAAAACACTCTGCATGGAAACATCAGGGAAGACTTCCTAGAAGAGGTAATGTTTGGACTGAGTCCTAAAGAATGTATAAGCAGAAACTGGAAGGGACTAGAAAGACAGCTTCCCAGGCAAAAAGAACAAATTGAAGAAAGAAAACAGTACAAAATAACACAGATTTCCTAATGGGTTGGAGCATAGGTGAATATAGGAGAGGAATGGGACTTAATACACAGACTTAAATCCGAAGGCTCTTAAGCCAGGAAATGACATCATCAGCTATTTCTGTTCTAGAAAGTGCATGCTGGTTGCATGTGGAGGAGGGACTGACGAGAGGCAGGGAGGTAGGTGTGGGCCTACAAGATGAACTTAGGCACTGGCAGATGGGAAGGAGGGGGTGGCTCTGAGAGCTGACAGAGTAGCAGAATGGGCAAAGTCTGGAGTGGGGAATCTTGAGGAGGACTCTTGGGTTTGGGGCTTAGAGAAGAGAAAGAATGACACCACAATCCCAGACTGGGAATGCATGAGAAGGAGGCAGCTTGGGCCCAGAATGGTTGGTAGGCTGGTGAGCTCAGTTTTGCACAGGCAGTGTCTGACATCCCTGTGGGGCATCTGGGTGAAGATCCCCAGTCAACATCAGGAGATGAAGATGGAGATGACAATGGAGGTATGGAGGCTATCTGCTGAAGGCAATTCAGGTTCTGGGCATAAAACGTGGAGTGAGCCCAGGATTGGACTGGGATAGTGTGGGATCAAGACTGTACCGGACAGTGCAGCTTGAGTGGGAATGGTGGTTCAGGAGAACAAGGGCTGACAGCAGTTGCTCATTCCCAGATCTGAGAGTGAGATAGGGACACACAGCCTCTGCAGCCTGCCAGCAGGTCAGTCATCCAAGCCATTCAGGAGAGGAGCTCACTTTATTCCCTGCTCAAAGTTTTCCTCATTTTATTATGAAAATACATGCTTACAATACAATTGCATATTTGCAAATGTTATTTCACACCAAAAAAAAAATGCGTGGAAATCCCAACTTCCATCAATTACAGGTTTCTTTGCAAATGCTGTCTCTTTAACAAAGAGTATTTTTCCCCTTTTCCTCCCATCGTTTTCACAACATTCTTTCAAACTCCCGATATATAATTCATCTGCCATTGCTTTTTAGGTATTTAAGTGCATCCCAGTTTCCAGTCTCTAGTTTCTGGAACCTTGATCACTCTCTTTTTCTCTTCCATAAACAAAATCCTACAAAATCTTTTATAGCTATAGTTTCAAACTCGACAACTCTCTCTCTCTCTCTCTCTCTCTCTCTCTCTCTCTCTCTTAGTTGTAGATGGACACAATACCTTTATTTTATTTATTTATATGTGGTGTTAAGGATCCAACCCAGGACTTCACACATGCTAGGCAAGTGCTCTACCACTGAGCCACAACCCCAGCCCAACTCTTTTGTTTTAACACAATTAGACAACTGCTCCCAAAGTCCTCAGCCTTCAGGAATAAAAGGTTTTGGATCTTGGGTCTCCTCCTCTGTCATGGAGACTTTCTTGACACAGTGACTAAAAAACTGTCCTAAACTGGGTGTGTTAGCACATATATGTAATCCCAGCAACTTGGGAGGCTGAAGCAAGAGGATCATGAGTTCAGTAACCTCAGCAAAAGCAAGGCACTAAGCAACTCAATGAGACTCTGCCTCTAAATAAAATACAAAATAGGGTTGTGGATGTGGCTCAGTGGTCAAGTGCCCCTGAGTTCAACCCCCTATTACCCCCTCCCCCCAAAAAAAACTGTCCGAGAGTCAGCTATGCTCAGGTATGTCACCCAACTTCAAGCCCCAGTTTCTGCATCTGCAAAATGTGATAACATTAAATATCCATCTCTTAGGGTTGTGGAGAGAATTAAACAAGATAATGTATCTACTGTGTTTGATATAAAACCTGCCACAATAAATAATGGCATTTATTACCATAATGGCTCTTAATAAGGTGCTTCCACAATCACCAGCTAATTTTCAACCAGTAGAACATAATGCAAATTCAAGAGACTGGACTAGATTAGCACTCAGGTTCCTTGTAGAGTGGTGATATTCTAATATGTGCCCTCTGGTCCACACCAGGAAATACGCCTGTCGAATGTGGTGTGGCTTGGGGCTGTAGGATGTTTGAGAGGCAGGTGTCAGTTCATAAATGTTGGTGGAGCACATGCAAAAGTGGTAAATAGCAAAGGAGAAATGGAAAAGCACAAAATTGGTCTCTCTTTTCAGAAAACCAGAAGAAAAGCCTCCTGGTTACACATCCTTACAAATTCCACTAATGAGCTTTATGTTAAAGTTTCAGAATGTACAAAAACATCCTGGGTTTGTGTGTGTGTGTGTGTGGGGGGGTCCTCCTTTCTTATCCCTTGCACCTAGCATATTATATTTTAAACATCAAAGAATTAAACTCCTAAGACAATTAAAGGCTTTTATTCCCAATGGCTCCTTTCTGTATCGGTGGACACACTAGCTAGCTTTGACCACTTTTTCTGTTACTCCATAAAAGACTATAAGAAGATTCCTACCAGAGGTCCAGTACCAAATGCATAAAGACATACATCAGAGCCTAGTATATTAGTCACACTCTTTATGCTAATGCTCATCTTCAAATCTCCGGGTGTTTGCTCTTCTGCATAAGACATGCCATTCATATTTTTGAACTCTTAACATAGGCCATGAACTCGATCCTTATAACGCAGTGAGAGACTTCTGATAGTGACCACATTTTATAGAAAAGAATATTGAGCCACATAAAAGTGCAAAAATTCATCCAAGCACTGAATTCATCAGCTGGACACCTGGCCCCAGGAGGGTAGCTCCGGAGCCATGTGCACACCTAACAGGCCAGTCTGCTTCCTCCTTCATTTCATTTCTAAGTCCTTCTTATCTCCTGTTCCCAAAGACACTATCCCCACAATACAGTCAAGCGAGTTCAATATTAAGGACTTGGATTCTAGCCAAACATAGACTTTATTTTAAGAGTTGACATCTGTCAATGAATTTCATTTATGAAGAAGTACATTTGCTACTTAAAGTATCTGCAACTAAATAAAGTTATCACCTAAGTTAATGAAAAGCCCACGCTGAAAAAGTTGGCATTTCAGGTAGCTCTGTCCCCTGAATCCTAGCCTTCCCTGATATTTCATATCCGCTTCAATGTTACCTCTGGGAGGCAGCTCGAGGAGGTACCCTGGGAGGCCTCTCAAGGGGAATAGTAAGTGGTCCATCCATTTGTGTGGGGCCCGGACTACGACTTCTAGTAACTTCGGGGACTTCATTGTCCTACAGCAAAGAAAATGAGAAAGACAGGTGAAAATTACATTAAACCACCCACATAGCTGGACACCCATATCCCCACCACCCATCAGCCCTTCTTGGGCTTTGACTGTACAGGTGTCTACAAACTGGTAATCAACCCAGAAACACCAGGCAGCTTTTTATGTCTTCCTGGAGTAGCTGAAAAAGATAATCTGGCCCAAATTATCACAAACTCCTGGACTTGAAATCCTCATTGCTTAAAGGAGGCCAGAAATGGCCTCCTTTGACCTGTTCTCAGGAGATTTCAGAGTCGGTGGTGACGCAAGTGGTCCCTGCTGCTCCTCCCAGCCACCGGTCACTAGATCAGGGTACACAACCTGACCCAAATTGGGCCAACTTGGAGTGGGGCCTCAGCCTAAAATTCCTCTCTGCCCAGAGGCTTTCTGGGGACTGTGATACTGCACATATGGAGAAGCAGGAAAAGCCAGAGTACAGGAGAGAAGAAAGCCAATTTGCACAAAGAGGCAGAGACCAAAGAGCATTTGGCTCTGGGACACACAGGACACACACATTTGGCCCTGTCCCTCTGGCAGACCTTGCAGCTCCTGATCTGGGCCCCTGCATGATCCCTGCCCCTGAATCTCCTGAGACTCACCCAGCTGCTTCCCATAGATACCCCTTTTGGCTTAATTAGTCTGAATGTTTCTGTCCTCTTCCTTCCTTCCACTCCTCCCTCTTCTCTTCCTTCCATCATCCCTTCTTTCCTTTTAAATTGTGGGAAAATTCACATAACCGAAAACCAACCCATTTTACAGTGAACAATTTTGCTGTCTGTCTAGTCTCAAGACATTTCATAGCCAGGCATGGTGACACATACCTGTAATCCCAGATCAGGAGGCTGAGGCAGGAAGATGGCAAGTTCAAGGCCAGCCTGAGCAACTTAGTAGGATTCTATCTCAAAAATAGGAATAAAAAAGGCTGGGGATGTAGCTCAGTATAGAGCTCACCTAGCATGCATGAGGCCCTGGGTTCAATCCCCAACATGGGAAGAAAAAAATTTTATCACCCCAAAAGGAAATCGTGTAACCATTAGTGCCCATTAAGCAGTTTGTCCCCATTCCCCGCCTCCCACCACCCACTACCAACCACCAGTGGTCTTCTGTCTCTCTGGATTTGCCTCTTTCTAAGATTTCACATAAATTGAATCCTCTAATATAAGACCTTTTGTGTCTGGCTTCTTCACCTGGATTTCAGTCTCTGGCAATGAAACAACACCTAGCACAGACAGCTGGGTGGGAGTCCCAGTTCTCACCTCGTTGTCACCCTCCATCCCGCTGCTCACACTCAGGAGGCTCCGTGTGCTGGATCGGTTACTTGTGCTACCTAGAGGGTAAGAACAAAATCAGCCAGACGTTTGGATTCTCTCGGGAGGAAAGGAAATGCAGAGCTCTAGCATTTATTTATTTTTATGGAGAGAAACAATACATAAGCTGTGAACTCAGGATTCTTCCAAATGTGTCCATCGTATGCCCTTTTATCAGAGTTCAGTTTTTCTTTCAGCATGAGATGAAATGGTTCACTTTTTGATGACCACTCTTGGCTTAATAGCTGCCATTGACTGAGGGCTTACCACACGTTAAGTGCTTCAGAAACATGATTGTCATTTAATTCCCTTGAAAATCCTATTTGATAGGAGAGCTTTGATTTGACAGGCAGGGAAGTAGAGGTGGTCTCATTCTAAGTTGCTCAGTATCTCTCTTTTTTTTTTTAAGAGAAAGAGAGAGAAAGAGAGAATTTTTAATATTTATTCTTTAGTTTTCGGCGGACACAACATCTTTGTTTGTATGTGGTGCTGAGGATCGAACCCGGGCTGCACACATGCCAGGCAAGCGCGCTACCGCTTGAGCCCAGCGCTGCTCAGTATCTCTTGAAATCTGCAAGCTAGTTTTGTTGCTGCAGTGCTCATTGAGAAAGTCCAGGAAATGAGTGTATGAATCACACATGCATACACCCCTTGTATTAGTTTTTTGTTTAGTTTCTTTGTGGTTCTGGGGGATCAAACCGATCAAATCTCACGCATTCTAGGCAAGCATTCCACCATTGAGCTAGAGCCCCAGCCCCACATACCATGCTAATTAAGGGAGAGACACTTGGATGGAAAAAAAAAGAGGGGGAGGGTATGGGGATGTAGGTCAGTAGTAGAGCACTTGTCTGTCATGTGCAAGGCCTTGGGTTCAAACCCCAACACCATAAAAACAGAAAAAAAAAATGCAAAACACAAATTCAAAAGTATAATCTAAGCTCATGGTAGAAACTGTGACTATGTGTGTTTAGGTGTTTAGGTTTTTAAGTTGGGAATTCATCACCTCTGTCATTAGATAGCACTACCCAATAGAACTTTCTAGAAATGTTTCATTGTGGGCTATTCAAAATGGTAGCCAGTGTGAAACATGACTAGTGCATCTGAGGAGATGAATTTTAAATTTTATTTAGTTGTAATTAACTTCGCTATAAATACCCACATGTGGCCAGTGGCTACTGTACTGTCTATTACAGCATTAGAAGCTGCCTAAGCACATGGTGATCTAGCAGTGAAGAAGGAAGAGTAAGAGTTAATCAACTATTTTGCAAGAAAATTTTAACTTTGATTTACCAATAATGCCACTGATAGTATCACCAGATCTTAGGTTTGCTGAGTTTCCTCTTAAAATAGGTCCAAATCATTTTAGTTTGCAGGTAAGTAGTCTTAGTTTTGACCTGCTTATGGTATCAACTTTGACCTAATTTATTTAGATGTTAGCTGGAAAAGAGTTGGTTAGGTTGTAATTTTGGATTGTTTCTTGGGATTTTTAAAATTAGTTATACATGACAGTACATGCACTCTGACACATCATACATAAATGGAGTACAATTTCTCATTCTTCTGGTTGTAAGTGATGTAGAATCACATCAGTTGTGTAGTTATATAGGTACATAAGGTAATAATGTCTGATTTACTCTATTATCTTTCCTACCCCCATACCCCCTCCCCTCCTTTCTCTCCCCTCTACCTAATCCAAAGAAACTCTGTTCTTTCCCAGTGCCCCCCATCGTGAATTAACATCCACATATCAGAGAATACATTCAGCCTTTGGTTTTAGGGAATTGGCTTATTTCGTCTAGCATGATATTCTCCAGCTCTATCCATTTATTGGCAAATGCCACAATTTCATTCTTCTTTAAGGATGAGTAATATTCTATTGTGTATATACACCACATTTTCTTTATCCATATATCTGTTGAAGGGTACCTAGGTTGGTTCCATAGTTTAGCTATTGTGAATTGAGCTGCTATATACAATGATATGGCTGTATCACTGTAGTATGTTGATTTTAAGTCCTTTGGGTATAAACTGAGAAGTGGGATAGCTGGGTCAAATGGTGGTTCCATTCCAAGTTATCTGAGGAATCTCCATACCATTTTCCATAATGGTTGCACCAATTTGCAGTCCCACCAGCAATGTCTGAGTGTACCTCTTTCTTCACATTAACATTTGTTGTTGCTTGTATTCTTGATGATTGTCATTCTGTCTGGAGTGAGATTAAATTTTAGAGTAGTTTTGATTTGCATTTCTCCAATTGCTAGAGATGTTGAATATTTTTTTGTATCTTTCTTGATCAATTGTATTTCTTCTTCTGTGAAGTGTTTGTTTAGTTCTTTAGCCCATTTATTGATTGGGTTATTTGGTTTTCTTGGTGTTAAGTTTTTTGAGTTCTTTATATATGGGATTTTTAAATTTCAAATAATGTGGCAAAATATATCTGTAAATTAGGAAATTCAAATTTGTTTATTAAAGAACATGGGATCTAAAAAAAAGAACATGGGATCCTGTCCCTATCTACCAGAACACTGTCCACCTGGCCAGAATGTCTTTATATCCCCATCCCCCCTGGCTCATTACTGTTCACAAGTCTAAAACCTCCTAATCACTGACAAATGTCATCCAAACCTCCCCCAGATTCCTCCAGCTAAATGCAACTCCTGGGCCCTGGGCTGCCATCTGCCTGTGGTAAGCTCCCCAGGTCATTCATGATTGAGCATCATATTTCCTCCTAAAGAACCAGACTGCTGTTGTGAAGGTTATCTGTTAGCTAGCAGGAAGTAAAAAGCAATCATGGCTACTGGCCCCATAATTCTGGAAATTCATACCTATGTGCTCCCACTGTCAACTCCCTTGGCATCTTTAAATCTTTAACCCCAATGTTTAGTTCCAAACCTCAGCCCCCGGATTCAACTGCCCAGCCCTGTTCTCTCCGTAGGCTGATGACTCTGGCCCATATCTGCCCCGAGTTGAACACTTAGTAGGAGGCCCTGGCCCCACCCTCCATCATTTTCAGTCTTGCCAGGGGTTGGGAGAGCAGTGCCACCCCATACCAGGTCCCGTCATCAGGGAAGAAGGACCAGATGAGCGTCTAACTTGTGTTGTTTCTGTATTTTCTCTCCTCTATTACAAACTCCTAAAGACAGGATCTGGTTCTGTTTTCATCTTTGTGTCTCCAGCATGCAGTCAGCTCAGTTTGCATAGAGCTCTGCTCACTATTTGGTGGATGAATGAATGAGGAGGAAAAGGAAATGCATACAGTATAACTCTTAAGAAATCCGGACCAAAAAGTCTAGGAGAAAGACTCTCTGCAATGGAACTTTTGTTCTCTTAGACATAACACTAATATCTCAGGCCTAAATTTTCAGTTCTAACCAGAATTAATCTGCAAATGTTTTTCTGTAGTTCCCAAAGATGGCAGCTATTTAGCTCTAAAAATAGAGACTAGTTTCAAGATGTGACTGTGGAGATAGTTGATGGATCAGAGTCTAGACACCCTCATACTTCCTCTCTGCCCTGGGAGTTATTTTCATCTGGAAGGCAAGGTTTCCCCAAGATTGGAGCACAGGAAGAGCCATGGTGGTGCACATTTGGGAGGCTAAGTCAGGATGATTGCCAGTTCAAAAATATCCTTGCAACTCAGCATGACCCTGTCTCAAAATTAAAAATAAAAGGGGTTGGGGATGTAGCTCAGTGGTAAAGCACCCCTGGGTTCGGTCCCCTGAACCAAACAAGAGAGCCAAGCAAGGTGACACATGCCTATAATCTCAGCAACTCAAGAGACTAAGGCAGGAGGACCACAAATTCAAGGCCAGCTTGGGAAACATAGTCTCAAAATTAAAAAAAAAAAAAAAAAAAAAAGGCTGAGGCTGAGGATGTAGCTAAGTGGTAGATTCAATCCCCAGTGCTGGAAAGAAAAGGCAAAACAAGACCCGTGTAATCCAAGTGGTTTGGGAGGCTGAGGCAGGAGAATTGAGAGTTCAAAGTCAGCCTCGGCAATTTAGTGAGGCCCTAAGCAACTTAGCAAGACCCTGTTTTCAAAAAGTAAAATCAAAAGGCCCAGGGATGTAGGTCAGTGATTGAGGGCCTCTGAGTTCAACCCCTGGCTACCCCCTGCCCTCCCAAAAAAAGAAATCAAGAAAGGGTAAATATGATTAAAGTTCAAAAATAGCCTTGCAACTTAGCAAGACCCTCAAAATAAAAAATAAAAGGGGCTGGGGATGTAGCTCAGCAGTAAAGCATCCCTGGGTTCAGTCCCCAGAGACACCCCCACATTCTTGCCCAGAGACCCAGGACAAGTTGCCTAACCTCTCTAAGTCAATTTTCTTATGTAGAAACTCATGACATTGTGGTATAGGATGAATTAGATCATGTGGTAATGCCTGCAAAAAGCAAGCATTTGATTCATGGTATTATCTTTCCTCATCATCTTCAATTTCAAGGTAACAGGCCAACCTGTAGGAACCCCAGTGAGACTCGCCTCACGGTACCCATGCCCCTGTGTGCCCCCTTCCTCCTCACTGTGGGCTTTGGCCAATGTAACATTAGCAAGTGCAACTGATGCAAGCCAAAGCCTGATAAGCACTTGCACAAACGGGGCTCCTCCTCTTGGAATGTTCCCTTTCCAGATTGTGTTGCCCTGTAAGAAATCCAGGCTTTCGAATTAAAGGTTATGTGGAGGGAGGCCCTGGAGGATAAGAGGCCATCTTGGATGTTCCAGCGGATTGCAGTCACATGAGTGACCCCAGCCAATGCCACACAGAGGAGGTATGAGCCATCCTCTCCAAATATGCTCAAGCTATGGAATCAGGCATAAATAAGTGATTATGTTTCAAGCAACTAAGTTTGGGCGTGGTTTGTAGATAATGGAAACTATAAAAAAGAAACTGAGTGTCACAAATAGCCACAAAATAGCATACAATCCATTAGTCTGTCATTTAGTAACATTTTCTAACTGATGCGTAGCCATCCCTGGACAATAAACCACTGCACAAAGTAAAAACTACAGTCTATTCTTTCCATCTCCTCCTAACCCCAACCAATTTCAAAGTAAAACATGTACATAACCTCTTTTCAATTATAGAACCCTTCATATGAAATGGGGATTTTGCATTTGTCTTGTCAAATTTCCAGCTGTCAGTCCCCTCCCCAACTCTGGAATACATTGTCCTCACTGGAGCCTGCTCTAACATTTTTCTTCTCCCAAGTGTCCAGAGCAGCACTCTCTGCCCCTTGCTTCCTCTGCCACCTGAGATTGCTAGGAAACTCTCTCCCATTTCTGAAGTTGTTGGAATTCCCAAATGGCCTGGTGGGGCAGGGAGAGGTGACTACACATTATCACCCCCACTGTTAATAGAGAGATTTTCACCTCTGTACAATCTAGACTTCCCATGTGGTAGTGCTTAAGTTTTGGATCTATTTGGACAGGTAATAGTGGCAGGAACCTTAACCTGAAAGAGACCAAGGGCTGGGTTCTACTCCCACTTTTATTTATTTATTTATTTATTTATTTTTAAAATATTTATTTTTCAGTTGGACACAATGATTTTATTTTGTTTAATTTTTATGTGGTGCTGAGAATCGAACCCAGGGCCTCGAATGTGCTAGGCAAGTGCTCTACCGTTGAGCCACAACCCCAGCCCTCTACTCCCACTTTTGATGCTCTCTGGCTATGTGGCCTTGAACAAAAATTTTTTCTTCTCTGGGTCACAAATAACCCATCTATGGAATAAAGAGGGCAACTAGTTCAGAGATTCTTGATGTAGGTCCACAGATGGGCAAAATTAGGACTGTGAGTGTGTGTGTGTGTGTGTGTGTGTGTGTGTGTGTGTGTGTGTGTGTACAGATGTGTGGATTTCTCTGGAGAACAGATCCATAACACATACTGGATTCTCAAGGGGGTTGTGATGTAGAAAGGATTAAGAACCTCAAATTACATGACCTTCCTGCTCCAACATTCATTTTGGGGTTCTCTGATTCACATCTAAGGAGACATGAGTTCTGAAATTCAGCTTCTCTCTGGCTCTTTCATTGCTTTTCTAGCTAAATTTTAATAACATGGAAATGTATAAAACGAGAGAAGCCCAACCTATTGGGCTTGTGAAGCCAGTGTGTCTGGAGTCGGCTAACACAGTCCTGGATGAGAAAACAAAGCTCCCAACCCCTGCCCGCCTGCTGGCAGGCAATGTCTGCTGCAATTAGACTCCTATTCAAGCTTTCAAGCCAAAAGAAGACATTTCCTAATGAGATTCTCAACCACCAGTAAAGCTGGAATTCTTGAATTTGAGTCCATTGTTTTCTAATGCTTCTGATCTTGCACCCCTGCCTTCTCCTTAGCACAGCTGGAGAAGCAGCAAAATAGGGGTCAAGAATCTTGGCTCTGGATCCAGATGGGAGTTCAAATCCCAGCTTGACCCCATTAGCTTCTCAACCCAGGACAGGCACCAAGCCTAGAAGTTTCTCTTCATTAAACAGAGGTTGAAGTACCTATCTTATAGAGGTTTTGTGAGAATGAAATAATCTACAAAGATGCTTCACATATGGCCAATGCTCAATAAATGTTAACTATTATAGTTAGGTTTTGCCATTTATAAAAAAAGAAGAGTAGGGCTGAGACTGTAGCTCAGTGACAGAGTGCTTGCCTGGCACTTGGGGGCTGTGGGTTTGATCCTCAGCACTGCATAAAAATAAACAAATAAAATAAAGGCATGCTGTCCATCTCCAACTACCAAAAGAAGAAGAAGAAGAATATCATGCAACCTGGCTTCACAAGATAAGAAGAAACCTCACAGGCTAACCATGCCCCATATTTGACACCTCTCAAAACCATATGAGGGGGCTGGGATTGTGGCTCAGTGGTGTACTTGCTTGCCCAGTGTGTGTGAGGCTCTGGGTTTGATTCTCAGCATTGCATGTAAATAAATGAATAAAATGAAGCCCATCAACAATGAAAAATACATATAAAAAATTAAAAAAAAATATCAGGCCCCAACTGAGATCTCTGGGCTCATAACTGAATGTCTCTGAAGGTGCCGTGGCTCCGGCTGGAGTCCAGCTGTGTGGGCTGCTTACTCGCTGTGCTGGAGGTACTGTCCGTTTTCCAGTCTCCTCGTCTCAGCTCTGTCCTTGGGGGGAAGACGCTTTTCCTGGGGCCGCTCTCATAGACTCCAAACTCCACTTTTCCAGGCAGGTGCTGTGAGTGCCGAATGGGGACTGTGATCTCCAAGTCTGGAATCAGAGGAAAGAGAGATGAGCTTCCAGATGGCAGTCTGTCACTTGCCAAACTGCTCATGGCTGCCTGCCTCCCATGCCTGAGCCTGGGGGTGCCCAGAGGAGGGGCTGGGGCCATGGGTTGTTCTCCCCGCCTACTTCAGCACTGGATTTCCAGGGAATGCTAAGTGGCCAAGCTGGGAGACAGAAGGGCGGGGTAGCCAGACTTGAGAGAGGCAGAGAAGCACAGGGAGTGGACAGAACATGCTGTGGCATCCCAGCCCTGACACATAGCAGCTGTGCAGTGCATCACGCAAGTCAGTCAACCTCTCTTGAGTTACTCCCCTTGTCTGAGGTAGGGGTTATGTAGGGGTTGGCAGTAATGACAGGCCATCCTGTGCACAGGGCTCAGTTCTAAGGGGCTCCATATTTGTAGGTCACTGAATCCCTACAACACTCAAGAAATCAATGGTATAATCATCAGTCCAGCAGAACTCTGGGTCCAGCGGCACCATCTGGGCCTCGTGTCAAGCAGCTTCCCAGCTTTTGGTGTGTTACAGAATCTTACACATCCTGAGGCTCTCTTGGTTACAAGGGTCCAGTGGAAGCACCCAACAAGGTCTGGAGCCACTTGGACAGAGAAGAGCCAGGCATCCAGGTATGAGCCCCAGGGTCCCAGGACCCACACAGATGTCACATTATTTTTTTTTTCCATCTCAGCTTTGTCCTACATTTTTAAAAAATCATCTTTTAAAGGGAGGCTCCTGTCTGTTTAATTAACTTCAAGGTGGCAATTTTCTACCCTCAACCGGTTGTATGAGGAAGGAAAGTAAAACACACAGGGGAAAAAAAAATGGGAGTCAAAAGTTCAAAAAAATCAGGTAGAGCCAGTCTACATGCCTACAAAATCCTGACACTCCTTGAATAAAGGTACAATGTCAGGAATAATTATCATTATTATCTGGCATAGCACTTTCCCAAAGTGTCTTCATTGGCATTTGTATTCCCCCCGGGCGCCATGACTTCTCCACTAAGTAGGTAAGTCAGTGTAACTCCAGTGAGGAAACCGAGGCACAGAGTGGTTAAAGGGAACGGTCCTGGATTGCATGGTAATTCAGTGACATAGAGGGGGCACGAATATGGGTTCCCTGGGACTCAGCTGCTCCTCTGTGTCATAGGATACACCCAGAACATAAATATGAATTGTCTTCTCTGTGGGGCCTGGCATTCACCAAGGTCCAAGTCACACCAGCCTTGGCTGATTCCTTTGCCACCAGCCCCAGCCCAGTAAGAGCAAAGCTGCTCTCTGAGGCTGAAGAAAAACCAGCACACCAACAGCAGAGGCTCCGTTTTCAATTATCCTTAGTATTCCAACCCCTGTTAAAGAAAATAATAACAATTTTGCTAAGACAAATGAAGTTGCCTATTTAAGACTGAGTCTTTGTGTGGAAAGTGAGTTACATTCTTAGAAAAGGCCCTTTAGGCAGAAATGCCACTCATCAACCCAAATGTTCCTGTAGAACAATGATTGCGTGCCAGTTATTTTCAAATGCTTTTTGTTTTCGGTTAAACAGAATTCTTTCCTTTAGTGACAACAGAAGCTCAACACAGAAAACAGATTTTTAAAAAGCTGCATGATCAAAGAAGAGTTAAGCGGCCCCAGCCCCAGGACCCTAATCCATTCCCTCAGCCCAGTTCCTACTCCCACCCCCATAAACACACATACCGCAGCCCTGAGGCCCCTCAAGGAGCTCAATGTGAAAAGCCACAGAACAGGTAACTTCAAGCCAGCATGTAAGTACACAATCAAGGTTTACAGAGCTAACTAATAAATCATATCTACTCAGCCATAAATGATACCTTCCCTTTGGCAAATGCTCTGACGCCCCTGGGCTTCATCCTGCAGTCCAGGGTCCAACTTCCAACTACCTAAGATAGCCAAATTATAAGTGCCCCCTCCCAGCAGGCCTCAACCAATGACAGATGGGAGCTGGTATATAAATGCTTGCTCCTCAGGTAGGGTAACGCTGAGCAGGTGTTCTCCTTCGACTCCTTCTCTGTGTCACTTCCCCACCCCCTGCTCTGTCCCCTGGGATCACCTTCCATTTGGGCTATCTGCTCTCAGTTCCTTGCCAGAGAAGGGAAATATTCTAAAAAACGGAAGTGCTGCTGGCTGCACAGCCTGGGGAATGCACTGTGCGCCATGGAACTGTACTAAAAAATGGTTCAAGTGGTAAATTTGGTGTTATGCATATTTTAATATAATAAAAATGCAAAACTAGGACACATTTTGAGGCCTATGGGGTAGAACATTCTCCTCATGTGGACTGCTGCCATCCCTAGTCATTAATATTCAGTGCCTGTTCAAGTTTGGATCTGGAATCCTCCCCATAGACCCATGTGTTAAAAGCCTTGGTCCCCAACTTGGCACTAGTGGGAGGTGGTGGAACCTTTAAGAGGAGGGGCCTAGTGGGAGGTCTTTAGATCATTGGGAGTATGCCCTTCAAGAGGATAATCAGACCTCATCCCTTCCCTCTTTCTCTTTTTTACTTTCTAGCCATGAGGCAGTTTTGTTCTGCCAGATGCTCCAGCCACAGGTCTGAAGCAATGGGCCCAATTGATTAAGAACTGAAACCTCCAAAACTCTGAGTCAAAAATGAACCTTTTCTCTTTATAAGTTGATTATCTCAGGTGTTTTTTACAGAGATGGAATACTGACTAATACTGTGTCCAATTATATATAGCCTAATACTTAATAGTTATTATGCTTAATTAAATCACCTGATATAAAAAGTTTTTTAAAAAAATTAACAAGAAAAATCTTATCAAAGGGTCTGCTTCTTGGGGAGCAGCTGGAGGGAATTAAGACATGCTTCATTAGAAATTTTAGATATTGACCATTCTGATTTAGACTATCACTACTAATAGGTAGATATCACTCATCTGGAGCCTGATTAGTCTTGGGTGAACTCATGATTCTAGGGCCCACTCCTGGATGGTAAGTCCAAGAGAAATACACTCAATGTGGAAGGCCCTGCCTGAGAGGATAACCAGCCTGTGAGTGGGCATGTGTAATCACAGGGGCAGCTGGGTTTAGAGTGCTTCCATGTGCCAGGCACTATGCTAGGCACAGGTGATACCCTGGCTTACTTATAGCAACCCTAATAGGTAGGCACTTTTTGCTTTTGCCATTATGCAGACAGGGACAGAGGCTACTAGATTGTGATGCATCTTACCCATGCTTCCTAGCTGGCAGTGAGCAAAAATCTGACCCCAACCCTGCTGGTCCAGGGTTCATGCCTATGACCCTTGCTCTCCTGCATGGAAACTTCTCTTGCTTCAGTACCTCCTGTGGCGCCAGGTGGAACCAGGGGGGTGGTAAAGATGTGATGACACTCAGAAGGCTCAGACTGCTGAGCACACGTGACTCCAACACTACAACTCCTGGGCCTTCAGACACTGGGAGCACCACCAAATCACAGGTTTCTTGGTGCTGCCTATATTTAAAGCTTGCAGTGTTTCATTTAATCAAGGCTTCTATCTTTGGGTTCATGAACTCTAGTTTTAAAATGCACCTCAGCCCTTTTACCACCTAGAGCCCTATTATCTGACCCTCAGACGACTGTGCAGACCAGACCTTGAGCCAGACATTCTGCCATCTCTGCTTTCTCTTCCTCTCCACCAGGAGAGCACATAACAATCTGTAGGGGCAGCATAAATTTAAAATCTGGACCCACAGGCAGAAGCTCTCTGATTCTGCCACAGTTATAACATTTAGCCCCTCTTCCATCTGACAGTCAAAATCATGAACATTCACTAGGCTATGATTTTCCACATTACACTATATTAGGCATCAGGGGACAGAAGCTTGCAGGGAAACTCAGACTTTTATGAATAAAAAGACAAGTAACTCATAAGCTACCAGAGGGCAAAGACAGGGTTCCATAGGATTCTTTATTTGGCTGGAGGCCTACTGCTCAATAAGTGTTTGTGGAATGAATGAACGGTGTCACATTTTATTGACACCAATCATTCCAACAGAGACTTCATGAGCTCCGTCATTGCACTGTACTGCACACTGGGGATTCAGCAGAGCACAAAACAGACTTATACTTGTCCTCACAGAGCTTACTGCAGGAGGGAGGCAGGGTTCTAGGCCATAACCACAAGGCAATTCTGGCCTGTACTACACAAAAGTGGGGAAAGCAAGGCAACAGGAAGTGAATCATGGAAGAATGGCAGAAAAGTCTTCTTTGAGGATGAAAAAGAGCCAGCAGGAGAGATGGCAGAACAGCAAGTGCAAAGGCCCTGAGGGAGAAATAATCTTGCCTGGTTAGAGAAACATAAAAGAATCCATGGGGGAGTGGGGTGGGATACAAGGTGGGAGGAAAATGGAGGATGAACTTAGGGGTCACTTCATGTAGGCCTCTGCAGGCCACATGATGAGTTTGCTGTCAACTGAGTGGCACAGGAGCCCCTGAATGGCTTAGAGCAAGGGAGTGGCATTATCTGATTTGTTACTTTTAAAAAGGCATTGGCTGCAGTTGGAGGATTAACTGTAAAGGGGCAAAAGTGGACATGGGGGGACAACTGAAGAGGCTACTGCAACAGTCTCAGCAAGAGATGATGGTGGTTAGGCTGCAATTGTGGCACAGGAGATGGTCAGAAAAGGCCAGGGGCTAGGATTGTGGCTCAGCAGTAGAGCACTGGCCTAGCATGTGCAAGGTGCTGGGTTCAATCCTCAGCACCAAATAAAAATAAATAAATAAAATAAAGGTATTCTGTCCAACTACAACTAAGAAAAAAATTAAAAGAAATGGCCAGATTTAGGGTGCAGTTTGGAGGCAGAACCCCTGGGGATTGCTGGTGGCTTGAATGAAGGAATGAAGTCACAGCAATCAGAGCGGTAAAACAGACGAATGGAAGCGACAGCAGGTCCTGTAGATGCTGGAATGGGGGTGGAACCTAGTGGCCTGCAGTGGGCCCAGAAGACAGGCTGCCAGGTGGGGTCTCACAGCCCAGTTATATGAACAGAGGTGCGAAGGAAGAGGCATGAGCAAGGGGCCTGTGGTGGGAAAGTGTCCTATTGGGGACCAGGATAGCACCAGCCTGAGGAAGCTCATGAGGAGTGGGGGGTTGATGGCAGCTGGATGCAGACTATGAAGCCGCACAAAAGCAAGGCTAGGTTTCAACTTAGCTCTTCAGGGGAGGGGCCTCCTTCAGGACTGAGGGCCTCTGAAAGCCTTTTCTCACCAGATCCTCTTTCTAGAAGCCCGGCCAGGGAAAAAGCACCCACCAGGCCGGAGGCTCTGAGTGACAAGATGCAGTGTGAATATGCCAGATACTTGCTCAGGGTGGCGGTGCCACAGGGTGGCCTCGGGGAGGGGGAGTCAAGGGGAGCAGAGAGGCCCAGTCTGCAGTGTGCACAGCTGAAATGCTCAGCCCTGTGGCTGCACCGAGGAGCCTTGCTACAGCAGGTCCTCGAGAGGCAACAAGTAGTGTGGACTCTGATGACATCAGTCTCCCCTCTAAACAGGAATGGGCTTTACTAAATGGGCTTTTTGCTTTCTGTGTTCAAAGAAAATGTGTCTTCCTAAGTGCCAAAGGTAGAGTGGCGTACCTCAGGACAAGAAATTGCCACCCTCTCTGAGCAGGAGAGTGGAGCGGTGCAGAGTTCCCTCCATTCATTCATTTGTGGGCATGTGTTTCTGGTGTGCTGGGTACTAGATTGTTTAGAGAATCAACAAGACAGAATCATTGTCTGAAAGATCCTCACAGTCTAGTAGAGGACCCAGATCTGTAAACAGAGTGAGAGGCAGGTGCTGGGCAAGCAGTCTGCTCATTCAGGCCACAACAGTTAGGACAACTGCTCCCCGGTGCAGCGCCCCAGGAAGCCACATACCTGTTTGCTTTCCTGATTTTTGCTTCTCCCTCTGTCTTCGGGTAATGCTATCTCTTAGCCGTTTAAGATTTTCCTGGGGGAAAAAAATGTAAGTATATTCCAGAATTACACTTTTTGAATAGTCTAGAGCTTCCTTCTGATTTTAAGCTATAGGCAAGGCCTAAAACATTTTCATATTTGTACCTAAAGAAAGACATTTCTTCCACAATAACGTCTCTTCCCTCCTCTCTGGCTCTCGGCAGCATTTTCAGCCCTATAACCCACTGCCCTCCTCCACAGACATCCCAGAGGTAAGCTGGTCTCTGATCTGCTCACAAACACTTCTCATACACCTGCCTCTGAGAATGTGTCCTCCCGCTATCTCCCTGACCTTGAGGGATGCTGATTTCTCTCCACGAGTCTGTTCTGGGCCTGGGTCAAGACTCACTTCTCCCTGAAACTTCCCCAGATTGCTCTGGGCCTTGGTGTCCACCCTGACAGCACTTGGGGATATGCTGACTTGCAAGTGTGTGTGTGTGTGTGTGTGTGTGTGTGTGTGTGTGTGTGTGTGTGTGCGCGTGCATGTGTGCATGTGTGTCTGCCTATGTGTGTGCCTTGCCTCTTCAGGAACACTGTGTACTCTCCAAGGGCGAGAGGCCAGGTGTTATACCTTTTTATAATCCTGCCATCTGGTCCACAGTAGCCATTCAATGAATGTTGAATAGATACTTGAGGCTCAAGATTTGCTTCTACTTTAGTTAATCAACAACAACAGTATCTGAGCATTCTAGGGAAGCTCAGCATCTGAGCATTCAATGCCCTGGAGGGTATGTCCAGACAATCTGGCTGGAGAAGAAGGTCCCTGTTAGGGAATCCCAGGTGGGAAAACTAGAAAGTTCATAACTGCAGGATGAGTAGAATAAGCCTTGTCCAGAAGCAGCCCGGAAACACTGGAAGTTGTGCAGGGGTCATGGCTTTAAGGTCCTGGTGAAATGAGGGGAGGAGCTGGAAATAAGGAGCCTCACGGGAGACCAGGTAACAGACCAGATGCAGGTGACAGAGCTGACAGTGGGACGCAGCTGGGGTAATGGAAAGACAGGAGCAGATATGAGAGGAAAATGCCACAGAACACGACCAGGCGAGGTCTGCAGCTGACCAGACACGAAGGACATGGGACAAGAGCCATAGAATCCTGGAATCTGGCCTGAGGTCTCTGGGAGATGGCAGAGCAGTAAACAGGAAGAGGGAGTGGGAAAAGGGAAGCAGCCTGGAAGGACGGTTTGTGTTGGACACGCAGCAGGTCTAGGGCACCTCAGAAGGACACATCCTGCTGGTGGCTGGAACTGTGGTACTAGAGACTCCGAATCAACAGTCACCTGCACAGAGAAGCTGAAGGGAACCTCTGGTAGAAATGGGAGATGAAGAAGATGGGGGGCAGACAGAGAGGCTGAGGAAATAGAACAGAGGGGCCTCAGGACAGCCTCCACCCCACCAGTCTCAGGATGCACCAGGAGGCTGTAAAGGCACAGAGTAGGGTCTGCTCCCATGGACAGGGGTTCTCTGAACTTGAACTTGAACTTCAGTTGTCCACTCTACCCAGGAGTTCTGGGCAAGTTCATGGGAAAGAAAGATGCTCTTGGATGGAGAGGTACAGAGACAGCTCCCTTCAGTATGTGTTTACTCTGCGCCCGGCACGTGAGGGATTTCCGTGGTTTACATCATCTAATCTCCGTCCTCATACTTCAGAGGTGGGGAAATGGGGGCACAGCAAGGCCAAGGTCCTCCGGTTGCAAGTGGCAGGACAAGGGTGTCAACTTAGGCTGATGGCTCCAGAGCCTGGCTGCTGGTATACTGTGCCCCGTGGTCATAGACACGGGGTGGGTGGGTGGGGGGAAATCATTGTTTGTCCAGGGCCAGGCTTTTCTCTGCTGGCCTGCAACAACCTTGGGGATCCTGAGTGAGAAGGGGCCTGGATTCCTGCCCTCAGCCCTGCAGGGTGCCCTCCACCCTTCAGAGCTCAGAGGAAGGGAGGGAGGGTCAGGGAGGGAGGGAGAGCCGGGCATGGAGGGTGCCCCATTCTCAGGAGCACTAAGAGGAGGAAGGTGGAGTGTCAGAGGGAGCCGGAGCTGGATGGAATCACCTCTCCAAGCCTCAGTTTTCTGTAAAATGGGTGTGATGATTACTTTATAAGCATGCTATGAGGCGAGGAAGAGCCCAGGTCTATTCCACACTAGCACAGCGCCCACACACTGCTCTCGGCCTTCTCACCGCCTCATCCACCCCAGAACACCAGGGTCACTGCTGGGTGGCTGCCACAAGCTCCCCTGCCCCAGTAGCTGGTGTCTCAGATGCTGTGAGAACAGGGCTTAGAATACACACCACAGGAGGTAGATTGAAAAGCAATAGCTCTAATCTTGACTCGGTCACTTAGTAGGGAAGTGGACGTGTTTCTTAGCCTCATGGGTCCCATATCTTCCTTTTTAGCATACATACATGGAGTATAATTTAAAACGTGGAATTATCTATTCTCATGAAAAACCAAACCACATAGCTAAAGCAAGAGTCTGTGATGCCCTGTCCTCTAATCTCAGTCCCTCCCACAGATAACCACTGGGATAGGCGCACACTGACCCTCTCCAGGGCTCTGCCTGTGCAGCCCAGGCGCCTGGAGAAACGCAGCCTATCGGTGTAGGAGTTGTTTTAACTCGAGTGGTTTTGTATTTGTAACTTGTTTTGTTCATTTAATCATATTTCTTGGGAACCTTCCAAGTTCTCTTTGAGTCCTAAAAAGGGATCCTTCTGTGAGAGGTTTGGCTCTGAGAGTAGGGAAAGACTGTAAAGAAGAAAGCTGGCTGAGCCGGGCACGGTGGGGCCTGTAATCCCAGCCACCGGGAGGTGAGGCAGGAGGACTATGAGTTCAAGACCAGTCTAGGCAATTGTCAAAACAAAGTAAGAAATAGAGAGATGGACACAGGGAGAGGGAGAAAAAATAACATTAAAAAAAACCAAAACACCTGAGAAGCAGAAGTTAAGGGCCAAGTGCAGAGTAACAGAATTAGGGTATACAGAGGAGTCTTTGTTCCTAACCTCCAGCTACAGCACCCCAAAAAGCCATCCAGCTCTCAGCCAGGGAACTGTGGGGTTCCAGACAAGGGAACACAGACACGGGGCTCCTGACTCACAGGGACACCCATGCAGATGTTCAGAGGCACAGCTGTAGGTGCTCAGTATAGATTCGCACAAGACGGAGATGGCCCCCACTCCACTGTCCAGCTGAGAAGTGACATGAGCATGCAGAGGGAGCTGGCTACCTGCTGGAAGCGAAAGGACTCGGATCGCCTCTTCTGGTTGAGCTGCCACTCTTTGAAGTGCAGCACGGCCTCATCCACGTTGACGATGCCCAGCTTCACCTGCTCCTGCAGGGTAATGAGCTGCCGCTGGCCTGGTGTTTTCATCCCGGCAAATGGGTCATAGATGCTCGACTGGGGCCTGTCCCTCCATGGCCTGACGGGCGGCTCTGGAAAAAATGGCAGAACTCAGCTTGACAGTTCCTCACTAGGGAGAGCGCACCCGAGGAAGAGGGTGGGGTAATGAGGCTGGTCACAGGCTCGAGAGGACATGGCCCAAAGGAACAATTACCTGTAAAACCAACAAGGGGAAAATATGACACAAAATCAGGTGAGAGGGAAGCAGCTAATAATTTCAAAGTTTGTCATCTGAAAGCAGACGAGGCTGCAACATTAAAGGGAGGCGTGAAGTCACTTGATCCTCCAAACCTTAATTATCGAGGCACCTTTGGACCACAACTCTGACACTATTGACATTTGGGGCTAGATGATTCTTTATTGCAGGGTTGTCGTGTGCATTGGAGGATGCTCAGCAGCATTCCGAGCCTCTACCTACTGGGTGCCAGTAGCACTCCTTTCCCCAGTTCTGACAACCAAATGTGTCCCCAGATACTGCCAAACATCCTTTGGGTAAAGAAGGGCAAAGTCACCCCCATTTGAGAACCACTTCTTTAGACTCCAGTGCACTCCGAGAATATACCCAGGATGCATCTCCCAGCTTCATTCACACCCTGTCTCTGAGCAACAATTGTGGACAGACAGCCATGAAATGCCAAAGGAGACTGAAATGCCATTGGAATTGTGGCCCAGGTCCAATACTTCCAGGTATAAATGAAGTGCTGGGTTACATCCTTGGGTTGTTCTGTGCCCACCTCTTTTCTATATTACAAATGCACAGCTCTCTGCTTTGGAGATTCTAAGGAAATATGAAGCCAGCCACCCCACTAACCAGGCTATAACCTCATTTCTGTGGGGGAAATGAGCTACTTGCAGAGAGAATGGGGCCACTGGGATATGTAAGGACAACTTGACATTTTACTTCTCGATTCATGTAGGGCTACTTGATTTCAAATTCCTTCAGCAAATTTGGACACTATGATTTCGGGACATAGCAAGAAGGAAAAAGAGAGATGGCTTCACCAGTGGGTACTAAAAAAGACTTGAAGGGGTCTTGCGTATGCTTCTATATAGCACATGCAAATTAATCAAGAGGAAAAAAAGATTGAGGAAGAAGGTTATGAACTAAACATGGCTGGCTGGTCACCAGAAGCTGGGGATGGCTTGGCCCTCCACTAGCAGCCAGCGGGAGAAGGGGATCTCAGGTTTACAATCACAGAGAACAAATTCTGTCAACAATGTGAACAAGCAAAGAGACAGATTCTCCAGTAGAGACCCTCCAGGAAGGAATGCAGAGGCAGCACTTCGTTCCTCAAACTTCCACTACAAGTTCTTAGAAAAATGACATGTACAAGTTATTACTCGACAGGAAAAAAAAAATGTCTTTCAAAACAAAGTTGAATCAAAGCACAGTTGAACTAGCATAGACAGGATAAACAGGTAACCTGAAAGGTATGTATCACAGGAAAGACCAGGTGCCGGGTCACCACTTGCATTCTGTTGGCATCAGTCTCAAGGTTTAGATTGTGCTTTTATGTGCTGAACAGACACTTTCAAGTGTCCTCTGTATGATCAATTTGTACAACAGCCTAGGGAACCTGCTTCTTCCCCCTCTTCTGTTACCTCCAGTACAGGATTTTCGGACAGCTCCTCCTCTTAGGTCTCTCTATTTGGCAATGCCAAGGAACTGTTGTTGTTATACTTGGAAACCCGCCCCCTCCCTGAGATGTGAACACCTCTCTCCTCTCTCCTCATTTTATCCAAGGGATGTGAGGACAAGAGCTGGCTTACCTTTTCTGATGCTCTCTGAGGAAACATAGAGATTTCCAGGCCGCTCTTGACTTTTTTCTGCAAAAACTGTGAGAGAAATAATATTCTGAGTAAAAGAAAAAGCATTTTTCTTTTTTCTTCCTTCAGGGCTCTATAACTTTTGCAAAAAAAATTATGTATTAAAATCCAATGGGAAAAAACTGAATGAAGATGTAAGACCACCATTTCTAGTTGTGTAAGCCAAGACTCCAGAAGGAGAAAACTGAAGAGAAGCAGTAGAGATGGTCAAAAAAGACAGGTCAAACAGACAAGATCTCAAACTTACAGAGTCAGCCAGAGGACAGGTCAGCATTTACAAGATCATTAAATAAAAGGATCATGAGATGCCAATCAAAAGTAAATTGAGATCTCATCTCACTGCAGTCAGAATGGCAATGATCAAGGTAACAGGCAATAATAAATGCTAGAAAGGTTGTGGGAGGAAAGGAACACTTGTACATTGTTGGTGGGACTACAAACTAGTAAAACCACTCTGGAAATCAGTATGGAGATTACTCAAAAAAATTAGAAATGGAACCACCATATATGATCCAGCTATTCCACTCCTTGGTATTTTTCCAGAAGATCAAAAATCAGCATACTACAGTGATGTAGCCACCTCAATGTTTATAGCAGCACAATTCACAATAGCTAAATTATGAAATCAACCCAGATGCACATTAATAGATGAATAGATTAAAAATTGTGGTGTATATATACATACATTATATTTAAAATGGAGTTCTATTCAGCCATAAAAAAGAATGAAATTAAGGTATTTGCTGGTTAAGTGGATGAAAACAGAGACTATCATGCTAAGTGAGATAATCCAAACTCAGAAACTCAAAGGTCAACTATTTCTCTCATATGTAGAAGCTAGGGTAAAATTAAGGAAAGAGGGGGTTGGGGTTGTGGCTCAGCAGTGGAGTGCTCATCTAGCATGTGTGAGGCGCTGGGTTCGATCCTCAGCACCACACAAAAAAATAAATAAATAAAATAAAAGTACTGGGTCCAACTACAACTAAGTGTGTGTGTGTGTGTGTGTGTGTGTGTGTGTGTGTGTGTGTGTGTGTACATAAATTAAGGAAAGAGAGAGGGAAGGATAAGATAACATAAAGATAAAGGATCAGTAATGGAGAAGAAGGAGATCAAGAGGCAGAGTAGAGGGGTGGGTAAGGGGAGACAGTGCAGAATAAATTCTTAGAAAATCATGCTACGTGCATGTATAGCTGCAAAATAGGGAACCTCACATTTATGCACAGGTAGAAAGAAGCAATCGAATATAAATTAATAGATGAGTGAAAGAAAGTCTAGTAAAGTAGAGCAAAGAGAATGGGAGAGAGGAGGGAGGGCAGGAGGGAAAAGCAGGGGAATAATGAACTGAAATAAAAGTGCATGCATGTAAGAGTTTGTTGGATGAACCCAACTACTAGTATAACTATAAACTCTAAAAAAAAATAGTTTTGAGTTGAACAAAGAAGAAGAAGAAAAGGATCATGGGAACAAGGAGATGTACCCAGATCCCAGAACACCTGAAGCTAGCCATGGAAGACCTTGCAGTTTGAGAATAAAAGGGTGTACCTACCACTTAACAGGCCAACGAGTGCCAACAAGACAGAACTCCAAGCAGTGGAGCAGGTGAAGTATGTGCACAGCTCCAAAGGGATTAAGATGAAGACACTCACATGGGATAGACCAATAAAGAACAACAGAGAAAATCTGGAAGTGATAAATATTTCCTCAGTAGGTATTACAGTTCCCTGGGGGTCTGAATAGACTCCCTGGATCCAAATTCTCACTCTGCCACTTATGAGCCATGTGATCTTGCACAAGAGGCTTGACCTCTCCCTGTCTCCACTTCTTACCTGTAGAATGAAGATGATAAGGGCGCCTTCATTGGGTTGTCATCAGGATTAAGGGAGTTAATACTAGGAAAGTGCTCAGAACAGTGTCCAGCACATGTTCAATGTTAGCTTTCATTATCATCATGCATATTTAAACTTCAAGATCAATGCCAATAACACAATAGTGCCTTGGCACTACTAGTTAATATGAATTTTGTCGAAAGCTTTCTCTGCTTCTGTTGAGATACCTACATGATTTTTGTCTTTACTTCTATTAATTTATCAATAAATGCACATTTATCAATTTGTGGATTTGAACCCTCCTTGCATCCCTGGTGAAACCAATTTGTTCTTGGTATATAATCTTTTAATATTTTGCTGAGTATGATTTGCTAATGTCTTATTAAGGATTTTTGCATCTGTGTTCATCAGAGATAATTTCCTTTCCTTAATGTGTCCTTATCTGGTTTTGATATCAGGGTGATGGTGGCTTCATAGAATGAAATCTGGAAGTGTTCCATCCTTTTCTTTTTCATAGAATAATTTGAGAAGAATTGGCATTAGTTCTTTAAAGCTCTGATAGAATTCAGCTCAGAATCCATCTGGTTCTGGGCTTTTCTTTGTTAGAAGGCTTTTTATTACTCCCTCATTCTCATTCTTGTTATTGGCCTATTTTAGTTTTCTGTACGCTTTTGGTTCAATTTTGCAGGCCAAATGTGTCTAGAGATTTCTTCCAGGTTTTCCAATTTATTGGAGTATAAGTTTTCAAAATAGTCCCTAGTGATACTTTATATTTCTGTGATGTCTGTGGTGATTTCTCCTTTTTCATCACTCATTTTATTAATACGGGTCTTTTTTTCTTTTGATTAGTTTGGCTAAGGGGTTATCAATTTTATTTATCTTTTCAAAGAACCAACTGTTTCATGGATTCTTGGTATTTTTTATTCTCTATTTCATTTATTTCAACTCTGATCTTAATTATTTCCTTCTGGTTTTGGAATTGGTTTGTTCTTACTTTCTCTGGGGCCTTGAGAAGCATCATTAGTTTGTTTATTTGAGCTTTTTCTGATATTCTTACATAGGCACTCATAGCTATAAACTTTCCTCTTAGAACTGCCTTCTTGGTATCCCAAAAGTTCTGGTATATTGTACCACTACTTTTTTTTAATTTTAAGAATTTTTTAATCTCTCTCCTGATTTCTTCTTTTATGTATTCATAGTTCAAAGGTGGCTAACTCAATCTTCATGTGTTTATATCATTTCTTTAGTTTTCCTTGGTGATGATTTCTAATTTCATTCCATCATGATCTGATAAGATGCAAAGAATTTTATCAATTTTTTTTATATTTTCTAAGAGTGGCTTTGTGGCCTAAAGTATGATCTATTTTGGTGAAGATCTATGAGCAATTGAGAAATGAATTTGGCTGTTGTTGGATGAAATATTCTATAGATGTCCGTGAAGTCCACTTGGTTTATAATACTTTTTAAGTTTATTTAGTCTAACTTTATTTGTGGATGACCTATCTATTGGTGAGAGAGGTATATTGAAATAACTCAGTATAAATGTACTGAGGTCTAGCTGAGTCTTTAATTGAGCCGTGTCTATTTTATGTACTTAGGTGCACTGAACTTTGGGGCATAAATATTTACTATCTTTATATCTTCTTGTTGGATTTTTCATTTTAACAGTATAAAGTGACTTTCTGTGTCTTTTCTGATTAATTTTGGTTTATGGTCTTCTTTATAAGATATGGGAGAGGCTACTACTGCTTGTTTTTATGCTCTATTTGCATGGAATATAATTTTCTATCCTTTCACTTTCAGCCGGTAGCTGTCTTTGCCTGTAAGATGAGCCTTTTGCAAACAACATATCGTTGGGTCTAGAATTGGGTGCAGTAGCACATGTCTGCAATCCTAATGACTCGGGAGTCTGAGGCAGAAGGATTGTAAATTTGAGACCAGTCTTGGTAACTTAATGAGACAAATGCCTCAAAAAAAATTAATATTAAAAAAGGATGGAATGTAGCTCAGTGGTAAAGTATGCCTGGGTTCAACCCCTATACCCCCCCCTCCAAAAAAAAAAAGATAAGCAAAATCTGAAATTAGACAAGGCAGTAAAAAAACACTAGGTAATCTAACTGATGTTTATCTAGTATCTTACAAGTTTGAAAGTACTTCTTCATGTATTATTTCACTTGACCCTCACAACTAGGTTATGACAGGGTATAATCACGTATTATTATGACATATGTATTAGTGTAGACATGTATCATTATGATACCCATTTTATAGATGAAAAAAGAAAGTTAAAAAGGGTGAAATGGATTATCTAATGTCCTATGCCTTACAGCTTGAAAAGACAAGAGCTGAGGGTTGAACACAGGTATTCCAACCTCCAACACATTGCCACTTTTGTCACCTCAAGTCTTTGTTTTTTCCTTTCCTTCTCCACAATTTCCTAAGCAAGTCCATCAGAGCTGTTTGGGAATCAACTGTGCCCCTGTCACAACTGCCTCCCTGTATGAGCTGTGCCATCAACACTGCCCCCAGCCCCTGTATGGTTTAGGAATTACCAATATATATCTGCATGCTTCTTCATGTGAGCTCTTTTGGAAGCAGACCCTGAGACAATTCAAGGGCAAGTAGACTATTCAGGAGGTGATAAAGGCAAGAAAAGAAGTAGATGAAGCAAGAAATGTTGGATTATCAAGCAAGTTGCCACACTGAGCAATATAGGGATCCCTGAAAAGCAATGTAGAACATGCAATTCAGAGTTCTCCTACCAGCCGGGCAAGTAAGCAAGGATATTCCTCCACCAACTTCTCTACTGGTTTGGGGAAGGGCCCTGTGTGTTAATTCTCCAGTGACTCCAGACTGTCCCACAACAGGACAGAGGAAGCTCCAGACCACAGAGAAAGTCAGGCTAAGATAACCAGTGCACACAGGTGGAATCCAGCCAGTAGGGACAAAAATATAAAGAGCTAAGGGACACGGGCAGGGCACCAACAGTTTCTGCTGGATATGCCAAAGGAGACACACCCAAGGAAATAAGAAATGTGAGTATTGTTGGCATTTGCCAGTACAGAAAATCCCCAAATTGTATTGCAACACATTTAGGATTACCAGATTGAGCAAAACAAAACCAAAGAAGGGACCTAGTTGGGACATACATTAAAAATTCATTGGCTGTTCATCTTCAATTCAAATTGGGCATCCTGTATTTTGTCTGGCAACCCCAACCCAGTTACAGGGCACTCTGGTTGAACACTAGGTTATGACAGGGTATAATCATGTATTATTACAATCTCTTTTTAGCACACTTTCCACAGCATGCTTATAACTATTAAAAGTGGAATATAAGTCAGGAGCACAGATCTGGTGATTCTTCTACTCTTATAGTACTTGAACCTGTATTAATATAATCAAGTTCTGAAAGAAGTAAAACTGACAATGCCATCAGTATTTAACTGGTGACCCAGGGACAGTTATAACACCAGTCTCACCAATTTTTTTAGTGTAGGTTGGTAAACAGCCTAGCATAGAGGCTAAAAGTCAAGGCTGGGGAGTCAGAATCCCTGGGTTCAAATCCTGGCTCTGCTGCTTGGTAGTTGAGTGACCTTTGTAAGCCTCCAATTCCTTATCTGTAAAATAGGGTTAGTGGTCCTTACCTAAAATATCATCATACAGATTAAATGCCATCTTCCAGATAGAGTACCCTTAGTAGATTTCAATAAATGGTAGCTATTAAAATTATTAATAATACCCAGAAGGGTTTCAGAAGATAAGAACTGACTGTCTTTGCAATTGCACATGAATGCCAACACTCGGTAAGGCTGGCACTGAGTTCCACCATTGCCTCTGATCTAGTTCCAGAACTTGTTCCAAGCCATGACCCAGGCTCCTAGGGCTGGCTAGAGACCATTCAGGAGAGAACAGCCTCTGAGCAATGGTTCAGAAAGCCAGGGGACCCAGGAAATTCCTGAGATACTCTTAAGACCCCTCTGGGCATTGTTCTCTGCCACACTTACCTTTAGAAATGTACGGTTCATTGTCCGGCAACTGATGAGTGCCAACAGCACTGGCCTCTGGCCTGGGCACTGGGACAGGGGGCCTGCTGGCCAGGTCCACAGAAAAGGCTTCGTCATCATCCACCATGTGATAAACATCTTCTTCCCCACCAGGATGGTGCTGCTCTCTCTTCCAATTAGCCCTTTCCATGCTGTTCCCTAGAAACACAGAGAAAGTTATCTGAAAGCAATGGTCAAACAAATTGGGAAACAGCCAGTCATGAGAGCAGAGAAAATGACCATTCCTTATCAGTACAGTTCTGGCCTTGGGCAAAGGGCTTTCCTGCATCACCTTCTGCATCATCTTCTCAGAGAAACCCGACGTCTCCTTCATTTGCCACCCAACAGTGCAGCCAGAGAAGTGAGCATCAGGCTCCAACACATCAAATTAACTGCTGTTCCGTATCCCATTAGAACTGGGGGGAAGAGAGCACAACCCTGACAGGTCAAGGACATGTGGGTCCATTCCCAGTGTGAGGATGTCCTGGAGACCTGCCACAAGTTCTTCAGCATCCTCCTTGTCCTCCTCAAAATGGTTCCAAGAAATAGCTTCTGAGGACTTCCTCCGTGCCAAGCACTACCCCAGGTGTATTGCCGCATCATTATCTCCTTTGATTTTATAATAATGCTGTGGCATAGTTATTATTATTAATCTCACTTTGCAGATGAAGAAACTGGTCTTGTGAGGATTTAAGTAATTGCCCAAAGCCACTTGGAGCCAGGATGACACCCAGGAAACATACCACAGCTGTATTCTTAACCCCCATGATCTCCTGCTTCTTTTGCAGCCTCTAATCTCAACTCTGCTCCCTGCTGACCAAAAAGATTGAGAATGGAAACATGCTTCCCATCCTCTGTCCACCAGGGGCCCACAGCCCTCAAGTTTTCTCTGCAGTGTTCAGTTTCTTCTCCCTAGCATTTAATAATGGGCATTATTAAATGCCCATTTGAGATACAGGAATGAATAGAGACGGGGCCTTTGGGGGTCTTATTGGGGACTTTTGGTTTGTTGCATTTGTTTCTGTGCTGCAGGGAGATTGCCCTTGGCTTTCTGGCATCATGGTCCAGGGAATTGACCAGGCTAGTTCCAATTTACTAGAGGGCTCTAGTTCATAGGGTACTGCCCTCAAGATATATTTCTATTTATCTGCCCATCTTTGAACATATTGTGCAAGGGCATAAGGAAGCTCAGGGTGGAGGGGTGTTGTCTGATATTAACACAATGAGAAGTCCTGGAAGAGCTTCTGGCCACCCTATGGGGGTGACAGTGAATCCCATAGCCCCTCTCTCTCTCTTCACAGTCCTCAGATACATGGTTTTGCTTCAGTTCATCCAGCCAAACTCTTTCCTGCCCCAGGCCTGTTGTTCCTCTGCTTAGAACCTTCTTCTCTCCACATGGTGCCAGGCCAACCGAGTGACTTCCCCAAGTCTCATCTGAACTGCCGCCTTCTCCAAGAGGTCTCACTGATCATCCAGTCTAAACTGAGTCCACCCTGTGGTTTATCCTCACCCTGTGTATTAGTGCTCAGGCTGTTCCTGCCTCTCTCACTTCCTGGACTGTCAGCTACAGGAGGACAGCTCCTGCCCCTGGCTCCCTGCAATGTCTTCCAGTCAAATGCAGGGCCTTTCCCATGGCGGGTGTTCAGGAACATCCTTAGAAAGAATGGATGAATAAATTCTGGGTGGTACATGCTCTCTGGGACAAGCAGAGATCCATGCATCAGGTTTGAGCCCACACAACAGCCTGCGTACCGTGACTGCTTTCCTTCCCAACTCTTCCGATCTGATCTGGGAAGACTCTGAGGGACCCTCTCAGGATACTACACTATCAGGGTAAGAGGAGGCTTTTTCTCCATGGCAGAGAAATATTTATGATTTTAGAAGTCATAGAAGAAACTCAGGAGCCTAGGGACCAATAACAGCTACTTCCTTAGCAACATCTGTCCACAGGTTGCAAGTCCTAGGAAGAAGCACTTTTATTGGACTGTGCATCCTGCCCCTCCTTCATTCTATTAGCAGCTACAGATAAGCACTCCAACTACTCCCTTGGCTCCTGCTGGCCAAACTAGAGATGTCTGAAGGAAGAATCTGCAGGCCACCCCAGCTGCCAGGCTCCCTGGGACCAACAAATGCTAGGGAAGCAAAAGAGAAAAATTGTAAGAGATTTACTGCCCTATGTATAAAGTCACCTCAAAGGAACTGAATTCTGTGCTATTGGAGTCCCTGCCAGAATGAATTCTGAGACTGTTTCTCAGTCACTCTCATCTTGATCAGATCAAGCCATTTAAAAACAATTAACTAATGAATTAAACAGCAAACATTTGCCAATATAATCCAGGTACTGCTTAGTGCCAGGGACTGTATTTTATTGGGGACAGGAAGTTAATCCCTGCCTAGAACTTCACAACTTTCTGATGCTGACTGGCTGCTGGCCTCATGAATGAAGTGAGGGGACAAGTCCTCAAAGCCTGGCCCCAGGTCACCTGTCCCAGCCTCATCTCTACGCTTCCCTTCCCACCCTTCATAGACACCAGGTATGTTGTTACCAAACAAATTCCTCAAAGCCGCATTCTTTCCTCTCTGCAGAATCCAAGAGATCACATTAGATAGAAATGAGAGGCTGAGCAAAGAGTTCTAGTTTTGTCTGCATTGTACACTAAGCCTCCATGTAAGATTTTATTTGAAAACAATATTCAAGACACCCCTGGTGCGAATAAAAGCTTGGTAGAATATCACAAAGGAAAGTGATCTGTCCAACTCATAAATATGCACTTCCTTAGACCCAGCAATTTTATTTCTCCCCTGCCTGAGCTGCACGTGTGTGCTTGTATGTGCGCGTGTTCTCTCACTTGCTCGCTGTCTCTCTCTCTCTCTGTCTCTTTTCCCCCCAGCACTGGAGATTAAACCCATGGACACTTTATCACTGAGTTACATACCCAGCTCTTTCATTTTACTTATTACTTTACTTATATTGGGGCAGGGCCTCGCCAAGTTGCAGAGGCTGGCCTCAGATTTGCAATCTTCCTATCTCAGTCTCCCAAGCCAAGCTGCTAGACTTACAGGGGCATGCCACCACTCCTGGCTCCAGCAGTTCCATTTCTAGTAATTTATAGTACACATAGACCCAAACATGTGAAAAGATAGTACACACAACAAAGCTATTATTGTGCAAAGGTTTATAAAAGCAAAAAGCTGAAGATGACCTAAATAATCTCAACAAGAAACTGGTTAAATACATTAGGTAATATTATATATATATAATGGAACACTAGCTGTTAAAAATGAATGTTTGTGCTTATGTGATATTTCTTGTGAATAAAAAGAAAAGAAGATACATTTATGTACATATGAACATGTTCAGGAGTTTTTTGGAGAATCTATAGTGGGAGACTTATTTTCATTGCTTAACTTTTTGTATCACTTGAATTTTTACTATTTGCATATTTTACAATATTAAAAAACAACAGCAACCAGTGAGAAACAAAGGGGAATCAAAAGAGGATTCCATTGTTTAAAAAAGAAAGAAAGGAAAGGAAAGCACTGCCCTAGACCTGAGATTCTCAAAGTGGGTCCCTGGACCAGCAGCACCATCACCCAGGAACTTGTCAGGAAGATGAATCTCAGGTCGCACCCCAACCTATTGAATCAGACACCCAGAAATCTGGGTTTTGACAAGCCCTCCAGGTGGGTCTGATGCACATTCAAGTTTGAGAACCTCTGCTAAAGGAAAAAAAATGTTAGAAAGCTTTGCTCTGGCAGCTAGTATGTACTGAACACCTACTATGTGCCACCTGTCCCTCCTGAGCCTTATCCTTTCAGCATTCTGCTTTCTGTATCTATCTACTTGATCAACAGGCACACTATAAGTTATAAATCACTGGATAGGGTTAAGGAATTATTTATACAATGCAATACTTTTCACCTATGAAATCCTCAGTTCTAATAATGACAACATTATAAACCTGTGTTATGTGCCTGGCCCTGCTCTGAAGCCTAACATACAATAACTCATTGAATCCTCACAAAATTTATAGCTAAGGAAACTGAGGCCCAGAAGAGATGAGTAACTGGCCTAAGGTGTCCCAGCTAACCAAAGGAGGAAGTGAGTACAGATCAGAGTCCACCATCAAAATAGTCTTGACTTAGTCAAACTTGTGGATATTCTCCTCCTCCACCAAAAAGTAATCACATCTTACTTTTCCTTATGTCTCAGACTCACCTCCAGAATAGTGCTCTGCACGTAGTAGATACTACATAAATATCTATTAAATACAAACAAACACATGTATTTTAAAAGACTTCTTACTAGAGGCAACTGGTCTACCAAATGAGTGGTTTCAGTGGCAGGAGCTTCTGGCCCATGGGTAATGGGCAGGAGGAATAGGTGGCAGAGATGAGTGGGGAGGAGGAGTACCTATCACCACATCAGATGCCATTGTGTGACAGCCTGTTCCTTGAGTGGGACAACCTTCATATGGAATCAGGCACTGTTTCCGTTTTTGCTTCTCTGTTCACAGATACAACTTACCTTCTAAAAACTTGCGGATCATAGAGTCCTTAGTGGGCCGAGAGAAGCCATCTCCAGGGACAGGTTTAGATGTACTGGCCTGAAGCATTTCAACATCTAGAAGGAAAGGGAGACTAGGCATTGATGTGTTGTTCTTCTGTACAGGCAAGGTGACTTTATACATGGATTTACAACATTTAGCAACTTTCTTAAAAGATCCAGGTATTCATTCAGAGCTGGGCATGGTAGAACACACCTATATTCAGCAGCTCAGGAGGCTGAGGTAGGAAGATCACAAGTTTGAGGCCATATAAAAACTAAAAAAAAAGGGCTGGAGGTGTAGCTCAGTGGTAGAGCACTTGACTAGCACACATGAGGCCCTGGGTTCACTCCCCAGCAACAGAAAACAAAATAAAATAAAAAAGATTTAAGCATTCATCTCATGCATCCTTTCATCCTATCATCTACTCAGTAAGAACATGTAGTGAGTATGAGCATAAAAGAAAGCAACATTCACAATCCCTGACCCTTTTTTCAGTCACAGACCCCAGAAGGTATAGTTACTCATATGCATTTGAAAGAACAGGTTGAACTTTGAAATATATACACCAGAATGGATGTAGAAACAATAGAAAATAGATAAACTGTGGGTTATTCAAACAATGGAACATTATGCAACAGCTAAAAATAATGAATTGGATTCACATCTATCAACATAGACATCTCAAAAACCTAGCAGTTGGGTGAAAAAGTTACAGACAGGTGATTACAGTATCTTGTGTTTATATAATGTCTGAAGGCCTTTAAATAGTGTTATAAATTGTTTCTAAATTCATAAAAATGTAGTATACATATAAATATGCTGAGAATGGTAACGTTAAATTCCTCATAGTGGTTAGCTCTGGAGAGGGAAAAAGGAAAGCTAGATTCCAGTAGGTGTTAACAGGGATTGCACCTGGGACCACAATATTTAATTTAAAAAAATCTGAGACCAAAAATCAAAAACAAAAACGAAGAAAATACATATTCTTGAAGATTCTGATAAATCTGAAGAATCAGAATCTTCCAAAACATATATTTTAAATAATTAATATGTTACCCAAAGGGGGAAAATAAGATTCTTTTTTTTTGTATTTGCTTGTATATGTTAAAAAAAAAAAAAAACTCTGGAAGGAGATGTAAGAAATTGGAATCAGTGGTTTCCTGGGAACTGAAAAGATGAAGACAAGAAATGGAGAAAGTTATTCCACTGGTCACATTTTAGTATTTTTCTTTCCCTGTTCAAAAACAAAAAGAAGAAGGAGGAGGAGGAGGAGGAGGAGGAAGAGGAAGAAAGAAATGCAGTGCTCTGACCATTGTTTGTGTCACCTTATTATCACAAAGGTACAAAACAAAACCAATTTCTCATCTCTACCTTTCTTAGTAGACACATTGCATGGACTATCATAGGCCTTGACACCCTCAAGTGCAGAAGCCCTGAGATTCCAAACAAGGAACCAGTTAGTAAGTCACTATCCCCTCTTTGAACCCCTGAATTCTACAACGGAGGCTGTAGTGAGATTGGAGTGCACACCTAGGGGTTGGTTAATTTTCCAAAATGTTTTCTGACAAGAACTTATTCTTAATTCAAGACCAGCAAAATTCAAGACCACAGAATTTCTACTTATGAGATTTTCAGTTTAGTCCATTTAATTACAGTTTTATGGAGCATTTCCCCCATGGAGTTAGAATATTGGGAAGACATATCCTACAGCTGTGTACCCTGCTGGGAGCAGAACCCTCATCTAATTGACCAAGACCCTGTGTTACTATCCCCTCCCGGTCCATAGTGCAACCTCCACAGCCTGACCTTGACCCTGATCCCACTCAACTTTTGAAATTCTTCATTTTGAAACTTCATTTACCCAACAACAAATCACAGAGGACCAAGGAAAGACCCTGCAGAAATGCAGGATGGGGGAAACTCTGCAGGCCTATCGCTGGGCTTCAAACTGTAAGTCACAAAACCCTCTAGAAAACCACAGCTGGCTCAGGCTCTAGTGTCTCCAAGAACCTGGCCCAGGGCCCAGCAACCTCAGGACAGTTTCAATCACTATAACCAAATTCTTCAGGTTGGTAACAGCAGAGCACAGACCTCACTTACACAATCTGTCATCCCTGTTGACAGGGTGGTGAAAGGGTCATGAGACGGCCCAGCCACTTTCACTAGCAAAGTTCAATATGAGAGAACTGTTTTCCATGTCTGAGAGGTGGCTGCAGAACTGACTACAAAGAAAATTAGCAAAATATAATATGTTAGAAAACAGTAGCAGCAAGACCTGCCTGGCTGGAGCTGACATGCTAATAATAACTACCCTGGATCACAAGCCCCATCTTAGTGAGCTGAATATGGGGGTGGGGGGAAGACTTAAAGAATGAATAAAACAAAAGAAAAGAAAAAAGAAGGCACATCAGTAATCAGACATTATCCACACCACGAGCCCTTGATGCACTATGCATTGATGAGGACATAACGGCATTCTTACTGCATTCTTACCCAAAGCTCATAACCTCAGTACACTCACAGAAAACACTGACCCAGCCAGCCTAGGGGATGATCTATCAGATAGGGGATCAGCACTCTTCAAAGTACCTAGACAGAGAAAGACTGAGGAACTGTTTCAAACAGGAGTAGACTAAAGGGAAATAACTAATGTGTTGTAAGATCCTAGGCAGGATACCAGGACAGCAAAGGGACATTGGCGGGGAACCCGTTGAAGGTTGACCAAGTTTTGCGTTTTGGGGGGTTTTCTCGGCCACCGGAGGCCTTTCCTTTTGCCTTTTTACTGTGGCTAACTCAGATGCTAATATCAAGTAACCTGGGTAAAAGGTGTGGGGGGGTCTCTTGTATTTTTGTCGTTTTTCTCTGGGTCTAAGTTTTTTCTGAGTGTTTTTTTTTTAAAGAAGAAAAATAGATGAGACGAGGAGGGGAGGAACTGTAACAAGAAGTAAAGAAGCATAACTCACTGGTGGCCCTGTGCTGAGCTTCTGGCCCACCCACCCACACTGTCAAGGCAAGCACCTTCCGATGACATATGCACATTTGGGTACAGTGATCAAAGTAGCGCTCAATACACCTCCTGTGAGAAACAAATCTTCTCACTTTAAAGTCATACCTTAACTGCATGATTCTGGAAGTCGACAAACTAGACTCTGCTAAACCTGTGCTCTGTGACCTTAGCAGAGTTACCAACCTCTTGAAGCCTCCCTGAGAGCGTCTAGCCGAATGGTTAGAGGCTTGAGCAGCAGATCAGAATGTCCAGGTTCCAATTTTAATTTCCTACCTCTTTCATTCTCCTGGTTATACGACTACACAGTCACCAGTCCAACACCATCTATTATTTGCAGGTCTATCAGAATGTTCAGACTCACAAAATGACCATGACTGGCATCTGTCTACTCAAAAGAATGCAGGATGCAGGCCAGCATCACAATGTTAAGAAGCGTTCATTGACTAGGTGTGCCAGGCTGTAAGTCCAGAGGAAAGGCCATGAGATCCCCAGCAGGCAGGTGTAGGAGCTGCCCTGGTGCAAAGCCTCTGTATTGCAGAACCACCATTTTCCCATAGCACCCCCAGAGGCTGAGCTTCCAGTCATTGCCCTCAGAGAAGCCCTGGGTATGGGTCCCTTTCGGGTATTTATAGTTTATGTATAGCTCCTCCCAGGTCTAGATATAATCAGCCAATCAGGGGTCATTTTTATCATAGGTAATGTTGCCTAGAAACACAGCTGACATTTGGCTCTTATCAGGTTACCAGGGTAACAGAGCTAGGAAGTCAACCAAAGGTCAAATTCTCATGCAGAAAGAGAAATGATAGCTGTTATAGTAACTCTTTGCCCATAATTATCTTGGGTCAAATTGCTTAATCCGCTCAGCTTCTCTTTTCCTGTCTGTAAAATGGTGATGATAATTGTACATATCTCATAGGGTTGTCCTGAATATTAAATGAGAAGCTTGCCAAGAGCATAGGATAGTGCATAGCAGGGCTGGGGCTGGGGCTCAGTGATGCAGAGCTCGCCTAGCATGTGTGAGGCCCTGGGTTTTCAATCCCCAGCACAATAAAAAAAAAAAAAAAAGAACAGTGCTTCACATATATGAATGCTTGTGACTATTATTATTACTGTTATCTGTTATTAGTAATTCCTATACGGAGGCTAACGTCTTAAGCAGAGAACAATTCAAAAAGGAAGAATCATTTGAAAATTTTTAACACTGGGAATGCAGCTCAGCGGTGAAGCAGTTACCTGGCATGTGCAAAGTTCTTGGTTCAATCCCTAGCACCACAAAAAAAAAAAAAAAAAAAAAGTTCAAATTAACAAATAACAATTGTATATATTTATGGGGTACAGGGTGATAATTTAGTATATTTATACATTGCATAATGATAAAAGCAGGGTAATCAGCATTCCTATCTCTTTAAACATTTATCTTTTTTTTGTGTGTTGGGGACCTTTGAACACTTCCCTTTTAGTTTTTTATACATACATAATCATTGTGAAATATAGTCACCCTACTGACTAGAACACTAGAATTTACTCTTCCTCTGTAACTATATTTTGGTACTATTGTCTAAGCTCCCATTATCTCCTCTCCCCACTACCCTTTCCTAATCTATAGAGCTGGACAGTACTTCTAAGATATCAACATTTTTATCTTCTATATATAAGTGAGAACATGTGCCATCTATCTTCTGTGCCTGGTTAGGTTCACTTAGCTCAATGTCCTTCAGTTCATTCATGCTGCTACAAATGACAGGATTTCATTCATTTTTATGACTAGATAATATTCCATTGTGTGTGTGTATGTGTGTGTGTGTGTGTGTGTGCATGCATGCCCACACATCACATTTTCTTTATCCATTCATCCACCAATGGATATTTCAGTTGATTCCATATCTTGCTTATCATGGATAATGATAATCAAATTTCAGATTCTCGTATTAACTCTTTGCCCACAATTATCTTGGGTCAAGGACATGGAAATGCAGAAGTCTCCTGGACATACTGATTTCGCTTCTTTTGGATATACACCCAGGCGTGTGATTTTGCTGGATTGCATGGTAGTTCTGTTCTAGTTTT